TGCATGTCAGAATGGAGTTAAACTGGATGCCCCATGTGGTCTCTTCATACTCTTTGATTCTACAAGAGGCTTCTTGCCATCTTTCCACTCAACTTCTCCCCATTAACACTAATTTCTTACAATGGAAGTCATCTCTCTATTTTCTCATTCTTCAGCATATCAGTTCTGCGTTCTTCACATATCAATTGACCAATTCTGACTTCCACTGCAAGGCTTGAATCCCAAACCACATCTGTTATGTACGCACCAAAGTCCATCTTTATTTTGTGTATGACTCCTAGTGATGAAGTATTCCACGGAGCTATTTCTTGATCAGATGGTCTGTGGAGTGTGCCAAGGACTGAGAAAGTTTGCAACATTTCTCTTCCTGCCATAAATGGAATATTCTTTAAAAGCATGACAGATACAATGGATATATAATGACAGTTAACTTATTCACAGTGTGATTTCAGTTGAATGAAATGGGTTTGTAATCAGGAATAGACAAAAAGTAATTCCCTTTGATTTTCCCACAGCGCAAAGAACAAAAAATTATATGAAAGATGAATATATGTGGAAGAAGAAACATGGAAAGTTTTGGATTAGTAGGATTTAGCCAACCGCCCCTGAAGAACCAACACAATCATGCATTAATTGGCAATAAGAATCAGTGACTCGCATTAAGGCACTGCATATATGTCCTTCTGCTTCCTTCTAGAGAACCTTTTATTTCATAAAACATGTTAGCTTTTATCTATTTATATAAAGAAATCTTTTTCCTATGTTCCCTTCTTTTGCTGAAACACAGCATGCCAAGAGAATGATGGAGCTGGTAAAGGTCTTTAAGAGCTGCATATTTGAATTTCTATAGTAGCTATCTAATCAAAAGTGGTACAGTTAGGATGCAAAGTTCCACCATGAATTACCTTTAATTCTGATACATTTGCAACTTCATGTAGGATTTTTAAGGTCTCCTTTAACTACCAATCTTTCCATTTGAAGTAGTGTATAACATTCTCATAAAATAATTCCAGTATCCAGCTTAAATCCTCTACAAAGAAAATGAGTGTGCCTGTGTCTGAAATATCTCTATATTTTGTCTCTTCTCTCCTTGAAGGTGGACCATGTCACAAGTCTTGTGGAAATCGATGTTGGGGACCTTCAGCAGATGAATGCCAGAGCTGTAAGTACATTAGATTAAGAAAAATAAAATGTTAGACTGGGCTATGGGAGACATGAGTAGAAGAATAGATTTAATATCAATCATGCAAATGGTATGTTTATATTATAAAGGGAATTCCACACTTTCAGCCCTGGACAACATGAGGCACGAATTTTGGACATCTCCTTGGGTTCTTTGGATCAAGCATCTCAATCTTATCTGAATTCAGTTTTGATTTGTTTTTCTTTATTCAGATCATTACTTCCTCTCATTCAAGGAGGCACACTATCCTGAGCTAAGACTGTTTCTGAAAGCATAGAGAAACATATTTGGTGTTATCAGCCTACTGATAGTGCCAGGCCCCATGCCAGATGATTTCTCTCATTGCTTTCATGGTGGATAGAATGCCACCTTGTGAAATGCCACATAACAGGTGACCAAGTATCACCACATGGAACTTGCTGGAGAAATATGACCAGAACCAATGCATGGTTGACTTGAAAGCTTCAAGACTACAGCAGGAAATTAACATTGTTTGTTTGTTTAAAGGGAGACAGGAAAATGAATGGATGCCAGTAGCAATATTTGTCTGTCGTGTGAGTAAATATTGGATTCTGAGTCAGTTGAGGTTCTAAAGGTAGGATGTTTGGGGGAACAATTCTAAATTAATAATGAGTTGGGAAAGGTTTGGCAGCTCTCAGAGAAGGAAAGACGTTAGGCATAACATTCACAGGGACCAAAGGAGAGAGCTTTGAAGCATAATAAAGAAGCAATCCCTCGTAGCAGTGTGCAGTGTGCAGTGTGCAGTAACAGTCCAGTGGAAAGAAATGCCTACTAGACATTGACAGAGTGCATTCAAATTGTCCCTGTAGGAATACAGTACTTTATATACCATGCATTTGTAAGACGGAGAGAAGAGTGAAGCCAGGGCATTGGAGACTTACATATCAATGAAATAGGTGAATCTGCTCGGGTTTTCAGGGAGAATATTAAGAGGCTGAACCTATTTTGGGAAAAGAACTCAGCACCTTGGATAGCTCCTTTAAAGGTTCTTGTGGGTTTTTTTCGGGCTATAGGGCCATGTTCTAGAGGCATTTCTCCTGACGTTTCGCCTGCATCTATGGCAAGCATCCTCAGAGGTAGCTTGAACTGCTTGCCATAGATGCAGGCGAACGTCAGGAGAAATGCCTCTAGAACATGGCCATATAGCCCGAAAAAACCCACAAGAACTTGTGGTGACTCTTTCTGCAAATAATTCAGCACCTTGGATAGCTCCTTTAAAGTTTAGAATAAAATCCAGACAAAATTCACTAATCTCACTGAAGGGAAAGCCAGCCACCAGCTGTCAAATGGTTGAGAAATGAAATTAACTTACAAATGTACAGAA